AATACAGACTTTCAAATAAAAATTCACTCATGTAACAAATTCTCCAACCAAAATTGCTCATGTGATAGCATAGATAAAATATCTAAAACCAAATATGTTGGAGTAATGGTTGACCAGCGCCTTGCTTGGAGTGCTCACATTGACCTACTGATTGGCAGAATTCGCAAACTAACTTGGATTTTTAAAACTTTGAGACACGTTGCCGACGCAGATTTATAAAAACATTTTATATATATATATATATATATATATATATATATTGCTAGCACAACCTATCTTTATCTACTCTATCACAGTCTGGGGTGGAGCCACCAAAACCAAATTTCTGGAACTAGAGCGAGCTCATAGATCTTTGCTTAAAGTGATTTATTTTAAACCTTAAAGGTTTCTAACCGTCAGTCTATATTCCCAATGTGGCCTACTATCTGTAAGGAAACTTTACATTTTACACGCGATACTAAAACTTCACAGAAAACTGCCCTACAACCCCTCTAGACAAAATAACAGAAAAATATTAAATGTTGCACCCGTATGACAATTTAGAAGACAATCTGCACATATTTATAACAATTTAAATAAAATTCTGAATTTTTACCCTACAGTGACACACACGTGCAAGCACAGACTACAGAGCTGGCTTCGAGGTAAAAACTATGATGAAATTGAGAAACTTATCCTACATTAACATATGCTGTGTAATATATAGTCATAATTCTATTCACTAACTCACATATACACCCGCATGCAAACACACACACACACACACACACACACACACACACACACACACACACACACACACACAACACACATCATAAACTTAACAATTTTTATTTTTTTTAATTAAATTGTTAATTAATTGCTTTTGCGTTTACTTAAGTTAGCACTTAACTATTTACCATAATGCTTCTCTTTTGACACCGTTTAATCCTAATTGTTGATATTATCTTGCTGTAGGTAATACTTACTATAACACAGTGTATATTTTTGTAATTTTGGGAAGGAGCGGAGTCTCCTAACACAAGTATCATACTTAAAAGGAGATTCCGGCCATTAGTCATGTTACTATGTAAAAGATACTGAATAAAGATTTTTCATTTTCATTTTCATTTTAATTTTTGTTTTGTTCGCAAATCTGTATAGTTCATCTGTTGATTCGTCATAATGTGAGTCTATTTTACCAGATTTAAAACAAACATGGCGTGATAATTTTAGATATAAGCTTTTGTACACCTCAAACCCGAAGCGGAGATCCCATAAATTACACCGTCGTTAGGGAAAGTTTGAAATCGCGCAACAAGTGTCTGTTTTGCTTGTATAATTGACAATGACAAGGAAGTGTTAAATATGACTACTTAAAACAACTATAAGTATCAAAAACTTATTTTAAGAAGGTTGGAAGGAATTATGTATTTTAAAAAGGTTGTATAATATAACTAGAGAAAATTATACTACTGTACTTTTCTTGATATACTCATTTGCATCAGTTCCTAACATTTCATAAGACCTCTTTGTGGTGTACAACCGTAGTGGAGCTATGCTACAGTTTATGTGAGTTTTAGCACGAATAAGTCTGATCGAATGGGAAAGGACCGCGCTCTCAGAGAATACTAGCATAAAATGGCAGCTTAATGCTGCTGTGTTTCGTATGGTAAGGGTAGAGAACCGGATATACATTTTACTGGAAACGAGGTATTCCCTTTTTGTCATCAGGGGTAACAACGAAACTTCATTTTGATTCTTATTCGAGGATAGATTTAGCTATCTACGAGTCATAGCATTTACTTACCATCATGTGGACTGTGTTCTCGTTTGTCGCCCTTATTCTATAAAAAATCCTGAGTTAAGGCCTGTGTTCAGCTGAGGATTTATGATAGCCTAAAATTATTTGCTCTCCATATGCATATTTCTTCATCATCTTGCATACCACATTTATCTCTTATCATGTATTATAATTGCATGATAAGAGATAAATGTGGTATGCAAGATGATGTTGTGACCAGGATTAAGAAAGGAATGCTTCGGTGGTTTGGTCATGTAGAAAGAATGAATGAGGAAAGAGTGACAAAACAAATTACTTATATGGCAGATGTGAACGGCGGAGTCGGGAAGGGACGCCCTAGAAAAAAGTTTATCGACCAAATTGGCGATATTTTGAAAATGGGCCACGTTAAAAGTACCCTTAACCGACGAGCATGTATGCGTAGATATATGGATGCAAAGGAGGCGAAAGAGGCATGTCAGGATCGTGTCAAATGGAAGTTCGTGGTCTCTGCCTACCCCTCTGGGTGACAGGCGTGAGTGTTTATGCTTTTATGCTAATGCATATTTCCTTTTTGTCTTTTCCCACTCTTTACCAATACAGTTTAATTGGTAATTTAAAATTTGCCTACAGATAAATTACCTAATATAATTAATAGAATCAGGCGTTACTTTGCTGAAATCCATTATACTAAAGATATTAAGAGTTACTTTGCAACCATCCGCTCAATGAAATAAAATAAGTAACTTTTAATATCTTAAATTATCCGAAAAACAATGTTAAATTTCATTAATTTACAAACACAATTGGTTAAATTCGACTCTTTAGTCCGATACCTATTTGTGTTTATTTTACACCGGCGATTCGCCCCGGCCTCCTAGCGCTGCACTATATTTTTGTTCGTCAGCTTTCATTACAATCGATTTCGTTATTCCGGAGATTCGCCAGACAGGCAACTGACGGACAAACATTTTAATAATGTAATTGTAAACGGCATGCAAACAACCCCCTCAGCTCATTATAAGGCAGTTATTTCAATATTATAGACAGACACTTTAATTTTATTTATTTCTTTAGTTAAGTAGTTAGTTAAGGCCTCTGTGTAAGTCCCACTGCTATTAGGGTACGCAAGGGTCCACCGTACTACCCAATGCGTGTTGGCGGACTTCACATATCTCCAAAACATATTTTTTTATTTCTCAGAGATGCAGTTTCCCTCACGATGTTTTATTTTATCGACGAGCACGTAGTAAATCAGAATTTACAATTGCTATTATTAGTTTCTATGATGCCGGAGGTATTTACGTGTATAAGTATGTTATACACGTAAATACCTCCTAAATATTCATTTGCGTGTTGCTTAACATAAAACTGAAATTGTGGCGGTAGCTTAGCCTATACGGTCGTAATGAGTCAATTACCGCTCATTAATCAGTTGTTTAAGAATATAAACATCGAAAGTTTAGAAGTTCAAGGCCTGCTTGAACTCAATCTCACTAATTTTGATATTTTCATTTTTGTAAATGAAATCTGTTTTGAAATTGGTGAAATTTATATTTTTATGGAATAAAGGTAACAACGGGCATACAGTCTACCTGATATTAAGTAGATGCTGCGGCTCATAGATGCTGATGATAGAATAAAAATGCTGATGCGTTGTAAACCATAAGGACGAACATGGAATTCCTCATTTCCAGTATAAAGGGTCTCCAGTACTCTTCACTCACTATACGAAACGCGACAGCAATGAGCTGATAGTTTACGCTGGTATTCTGTAAGAGAGAGCAGACTCGGTCGAGCAGATCAATTCGTGTTCTAACCACAATATAGAGCTGTAGCTTGGCTCTACTACGTAAATGAAAATTTTCGTTTTCTCGTTTTTCAAATAACGTGTTGAGGTTGCACACTAAGATTTTCTTCTGTATTGTTAGAGCAGTTTACATACACAAATTTAACAAGTACAAACATTCAAACACGAAACAATTATTTGAAGGTCATACAAATAATTGTTCCGTGCGGGATTCAAGCCCACGGCCCGTAGCGCTGCAACTTGTTTTCAAACCACTGCGCGACGGAACCCAATGAACTAAAATTTGTGTAAAGATAATTAAACCGTAGGTAATATTTACATTAAACTATAACATAAGCTATCTTAGGGGCAGCTAACTGCTAGTAGTAAATTACATCGTATGTAAGAAAACTGTGTTCGATCTCCACAGGCATTAATTGTTAACAAAGTTATATTTTAAATGGCTGGCTACGTGTAACAAAACACTGTGAAATACTTTATTCTTTAGACTTGCACGTCAAAAGAATAAAGTATTTCTATGATCCGAGGATATGTTAAGTCCCTCAGAAATCAGAGGAGGCTGGTGTCTTCTAGGCTTTGAGACGAAAACACGGACCTCAGTCGCATTAATTTGTTTTACTTTTCACTTGTATGTAAAAGGTAATAAAAATGGATGGATATGTTAGAGACTATTAAAATTATTAACAGCAAAATAATCATAGACAAACACTTAAATGGAAACCAACTATTTTGAAACAAGACATTTTTACATAAATATTCTTTAAAATAGTGTCTTATATGTGTTGTTTGATATCGTTCTGTATCCTGTGGCAGCTTACATATTACATAGGTTATACACGGACAAACTTTCAGATCTGAAAATTATTTTACAAATATGTACTTGTTACATGCGTGATTCAATCCGCGTCAGTGCTGTTATGTATATCAGTTTATGTTGCAAACAAACAAATTTTTTTTTGTTTTTGGTGGTAATTTTTTGATTGTTGTTTAATAAAATCCAATGCGAATTGAAATTATACAATATTATTATGAACATGGAGAAATATTCACAAATTCTAGATAAAACATGTCGCGGCTTAAACCTAATGTGTTATATTAGAATTGTTCTAAAGACAAAAGTGTTAACCTTTAAGTAGTGACGTGGGTGTCTCACAGACGGCCTCGATGCAAAAATCAGTCTCGTGGCGTTAATTTTTTAAAAACGCTCCCGCCCCTCCCGCTACCTTCGGGTTTCGGTGGCGTGATCGGAGGGTCAAGTGCTCGCGCTCGTGGCAGAAACACCTGTACCTACCTGTACGACCGTTAGGTGTCCCTGAGACGTGAGATGAGTATTTGCGTAAATGATTTATTGGACGTCACTACAGTATTAGAGTATTTTTTTCTAAGTGTCTCTTATTCGTCACCTCACTGTGTACGTTATTATTTTAGATGGATCAACCTGGACCTTCAGGAAACAGTCGAAAGCGAAAGCGAGTAGCTCTAAATACTTCGACAAATGAAAAGACCTTAAGTCAGTGGATAGAGGCTGAGTTGGAGCGAGACTTCAGTGATGTGGACGATGAAAAAGTGGATCCAGATTTCTGTTTGCACAGTGATCATGATGGCTTCAGAGGAGTGATGAGGAGAAGTGATGTGGACGATGAAGAAGTGGATCCAGATTTCTGTTTGCACAGTGATCATGACTCGGCTTCAGAACATTCTGAGGATGAAGAAACTCAATCTCAACGACAAAGATCACCCCGCAGTTCAGTTGCGATGCAAGATTCAGGTCTATCTTCAATACAAGATAATATACACACAGAATCCCAAAGATACATAGGTAAGAATGGTTTTAAATGGTGAAGCGATGAACCAGTGATGCGTAACTGTCGTTCACTAAGCCACAACTTGGTTGACATACCTAGATCACAGCCTAGAGCATTCATCAACCTAGAAACCTTGTGGAGACATTTTATGGATGACGATATTACTGACAAAATAATTGAATATAAGACTGACAATGGAACGGATTCTTAGCGTAGATTTACCGCCAGAACTTAGCCGCATTGAGTCAGCTGTTGGTGAAAATGATAAAAAGACTTGTAAGGTGTGTCCAGCAAGGCTGAAGCGACGCACAAGGTACAAATGCGTTGCATGTCATAAGCCTATATGCTTAGGCTGTTCCAAAACAATTTGCAGCGATTGTACTGACTGAGATTGAATTTAGAAGACTGATTCTGTGGTAGTTCCCATATTATTTTAGTAATTAAGTTGAAGAAGTAAGAAATTTTATTTTTTGTTAAAAAATAAGTCTGTTTGTTTATTTCATAACACTTAAGAAGTGCGTCTTTTATAGAATGTGATTTTTTCGTGACTTTTGCCAAATTTCCTAATAAATGTTGATTAATGCTTAAATTGGATTTAGTTTTAGCCTATATCATTAAAAAGGGGGTTTTTATTTTGATTTTAAACAAAAAATGTCTAATTAATAATTAAGTTCATACTATTGACATAAATTGCGTAGACGTCTATAAAACGTCACATCACCGTTTATGATTCATCCAAACCACATCACTACTTAAAGGTTAATAAAATTGAATCAATCACTTATATCGGGGCTACGAATAAATATTTGTTGGTGCCATATCGCATGTTCTTCAAACGAGGGCAAAGCGGACGCAAATATTTGACCGACAATTCGATTGGAAGGCGTTTGCTTGACTTTTAAAAGACATTAAAGACTTTTCTCATTTTTATGCTTATGCTAATATAAAAAAGAATTTATAAAGTAATTTTATCATTTCATCGATTAATACTGTACTCTAAACTCTGAAATTAGCAATTTTTTTATTTCTTATTGTCACGAAAGAATTAATTTATGTTTAAGTTTTTTGACGTGAAATTTCTTTATCGAAGAAGTAGAGAAATTTAGTACTATATTAAAAAACAAAAACGTACCAAGATGTTGATGTGATACACGAAATAATAGACCACCGTATAAGTGACTACTACCTTCTAACAAAGAAGGCTACACACTCGCTGTCAACTGTGAGGAACTACGTGGTTCATATTCCTCACAGCCTGTAATTATAATACCTCTCTATATTCTTCAAAACGGGCCAAGGCAGTGCAAGAGGCAAAAATAAGTGAGAGGTTTTGACCTCTCCAGAAGAACTCTGAAATAAGCCCCAAAAACAGGGAGGAGTTAGGAGAACTAAGAGCTAAAATCACTTACTTAGAAAAGAAGTTGGAAAGTGCGGAAAAAGAAATAGACAATCTATCAATAGAAAACAGTTTTTTAAAAAAACAAATCATAGCCTATGAAAAGAAAACTGATACACTGGCTAATTTATGTCGCTCAACACCAAAGATAGATAAAAACAAAAAGAAACAAAAAAGGGAAACAAAACAAAATTAGATTATACACTTTTTAGCCAGGCTGAATGTGGACAAAGTTTTCAACCAACACCAAGAACCAAAGAAAAAACTGTATTGAATAATGTAACACATGAAAACCATCAAAGCAAAATTTTAGATAAAGAAGAACAGATGAGCGATTTAAATTCTACACTTATGCATGAAAATAAGGATTTTAGACTTTGCGTAATAAGCAGTAACAACAGGAATAAAGTGATACAAGCTATAGAGAATCTAGATATTGAAAATTTCGAATACTGTCATTTTATAAAACCACACTCAGGAACAATCGAGCTACTGAGTGGACTACATAGCAAATTAATAGATTACACTATGAATGACTACTGTGTTATTTTGATTGGAGAAGAAGACTTCAAAAAATCCTCTAACTATACAAATCTTATAAGTAACATAAAAAACACGCTAGAAAAAATAAAGCATACCAATGTATCTTACCTACGTATATATGTGGTGCACCCTTGTTTAACTATAAGGTAGAAATGTTCAATTCTAGTCTACAAAATAGCATACAGAAATTTGAATATGCATACTGCTTTGACTCAAATAATGATTTAACTTTTGACATGTTTTCTCAGACAACTGGTAAACTCAATAATTTAGGAATTAAAAATATTTTTGAAAATATATCTAAATATTTTTTTCGCTTGTTCTAAAAATAAATTTGGAGGAAATCTTCCGTCGGTAAACATTGACAATAATGTACTCATAAAATTAGCTAATGATGACTTTACAGAAACAATAACATGTGATAAAGACATATTACATAATATCATTATATATCATCAAAATGTTTGTGGTTTAAATACCAAAAAGGCTGAATTGGATGTATATTTAGAAACACACAATTTAAGCCACAATATGTATGCATTACGGAACTTTTTTTATATAATCATACTATTGAACTTTTTAATTTATCTAATTATAGCATAATTTCATATAACACTAGGTCAAAAAAAAACTAGAGGAGGTAGTCTTATATTAGGACTAAACTATTGTAAATTTATAGATTTAGTTGAGTGTAAAAAACTGTATAAAACACAGTATTTTGAAGTATGTGGCATTAAGGATGTTAAAACCGAATTAAACGTAATTTGTCTGTATAGGAATACGCTAGCAAAAAATTGCTATGTGATGGTTATTCAAGTGTTTAATAAAATCCCAAATGAAATAAGGCAATTAGATTATAATCGATTTAGACGTAATTTATTAAAGTGGCTTTTAGAAAAACAGTTTTACTCGGTAAATGAACTGCTAAAAATAAAATAACGTTTCTATTGACTGTAAAATGCTGTTTCTTATCTGATTGTGTTTTAAACGATTAATGTTAAGATTGTAAAGTGATGCATGTTTAATTTTACTTAAATTTTTGTATATTCTAACCATAAGTTAATAAGATTAATAAGATAAAGTAAATAAGATTTCATATACCAAAATTGGTGAAATATGTGAATCATTATTATTTTTATAAGAACATCTTTGTACCATATTTCTTGTGAATAAATTTATTTATTTATTTATTTATTTATTTATTTAGATGCATTTTTCTCAGCTTTTATGGAGCAGCTTGAAACTTTGTTTGAATATTTTATTAATAAGAAATGTATAATCTGTGGGGATTTTAATGTTAATCTCTTAAGTGACACTAAACAAAGATCAGATTTTTTATCTTTATCAAAATGTTATAATTTTAGACCCCTTATTTTATCGGTTACATTCACACGGGGTAACGCTTAATCCTGTTTGGATAATTTCATAACAAATCTTCCATATGAATGCATAAAAGATACTATAATAGATCAAAATGGGTTATCAGATGGACACGCAGCACTTATATGTAATGTTGATCTTCAAATCCAGGGAGACACGAAAAATAATAAAAATAAAACTATTACAAGAAAACAAAGAGTATTTAATGAAATGAACAATAAATTATTCAGAGAACACATATTGAAACATGAATGGGAAAATGATGGAATAAATAGTTTCATAAAAAAACTGTATGCAATTTTTGATAAGAGTTTTAAGAAAAAGGTAAAAACTATTAGAATAAGAATTAAACAAAGTTCAAGCTGGATTACAAAAGGGATAAAGGTGGCCAGCAATATGAAGCGTTTCCTTGTGCCAGCACATAGATCCATCAGTGACCAATCTATTGTTGATTATAGAAACAATTATATAAATTAAGAAGGGTAGTGTGCCAAAAGGTTATCAATACAGTCGCAAATAGAGAAATCGAATAACTCAGTTAAGATGATCTGGGGTGTAGTTAACAAACACAGGAAGAAAGTTCCCAATGTAAACGAGAATATATTTATCTTAAAGCATAATAACAAATATATCAAAAGTACTCAAAAAGTTGTGGATATCTTTGCGGAAAACTTTGATCATGGCCTATCACCCTCGAGAGGTTCCATAGAACTATCAATGAAGTTTCTTGAGCATAACGTACAAACTTGCAAAAATGATATGTGTTGAGATCACATAACACCTTCGGAAATATCTAAAGTTGTAAAAAGTATGGAAGACAAGAAGTCATGTGGTTGGGATGACATTCCAATTTCAATATTTAAGAAAAACATAGACTTATTAAAATCACCATTAGCGAGTTTTTACAATAAATGTTATGAAAGGGGCATTTTCCCTGAGGAATTTAAGATTGCAAAAGTATTACCTGTACATAAGAAAGGTTCAAAAATGACTCTAAAAACTACAGACCTATCTCGTTTTTACCAACAATTTATAATAATAAAATAATAAATACTCCACAATTTGGATATCAGCCAAAAATAGGAAGTAACGATGCGATAGATACATTAATTGATGATGTCATCAAAAATTTAAATAATAAAAAGAAAGTAGCGGGATTATTTCTGGATTTAAGCTCTGCTTTTGATATGGTTGATCATAATATATTAATAAAAAAACTTCAATATTACGGAATAAAGCAAAATATGCTACAGATATTCAAGTCTTATTTAGAAAACAGACAGCAATATGTTGAACTGAAGTGTATCGAGTATAATATTGAAAAGACGTATAAATATAAATTAGATAAAATTAATAGAGGAGTGCCACAAAGTTCCATTTTGGGACCAATCTTGTTCATCATATTTATAAATGATTTGATCCCCTTTATGTATAACTCTCTACCGAAAGTTCACATTGTGGTCTTTGCGGATGATACAAATGCGGTAATATCGGCACAGAATACAAATGATCTCAACTATAGACTAAATAGAGCTCTTTTAACGTTTTCTCTGTGGTTTAATGCAAATAATCTTATGCTGAATGCAGAAAAAACTAAAGCTAAACCACAGCGAAAACGCGAGATACCTTGAACATCAGATTACATGAAAACTGCATGCCACTTGTACAATCGGTGAAATTCTTAGGTGTTTTTATAGACTCGTATTTGACATGGAAAG